GGGCAGCGTGGAACAGGCTAGGAACTGGAGAAGTGGTTTAAAAAAGTGATTGGAGTCTGAATTTCAAAAGTGGGAAAGTAGAAGAGTCACAGGTGACCCTTGCTGAGCATCTGTCAATGGAGTTTTCATTAACTAAGCTAGGGAAAGGAAACAAGTTGGTGTGTGGGAGGAGTATAGTTTTATATTTTTTTTAAGTTTGAGATACTGATTTGACATTTCCCAGTCAAAATCTCCGGGACAGATCATTTTTGGGATGAGCTAACAAGAATGATGTGGAGACAAACCCCAACCCTTAGCCTCTTCTTCAACAGTATAACAAGTTCAGAACTGTCTGCTTGACACTGTTTAGGAGCCAATCTCAAATCAAGCTTCAATACAGACATATGCTGTTCAATTTATACTGTCCTCTCCAACACCCTTCTCACTAAACTTGTTTTCTCTTTCATCCCTTACCTTTTCTCCCTCCCCTCTTCCAATGATGTCATCATATCACCTTCACGAACAGATTGGGATTGTCCAGTATTTTTCAATTCATCAGATCATATCCCCACATCATCCTCTCATAACTCTCTCCAATCTCAAATCACGAGCTTTCTCTTTTGCTCATTCACCTCTCTCTCTCTCTCTCTCTTTCTGTGTGTGTGTGTGCATGTACACATATGTTTATTCTTGTCTTCCCCATGAAACTATAAGTTTTTGTCCAGGAAATTCTAGCGATTCTTTAAAAATATTTATTGAACTAATAATTAAGTGAGTAAAGAAATGAGTAATTTTAAGCTACTGGAATTGTTCACCTATTTAGATTTGTGGGCCTCCAATCCTCTCCCCAAGAGTTTCAGTCTCTGGGCTGAAGAGAACAAGACTTGACTGATTTTCATTACTAGCTGTAGAATAAGACCTTCTACTGTTTTTTACCCACTTAAATATTAGGCATCTTCTTTTCAGACAAATTTAGTTGCAGACTTACATGGTGATCTGTTTGTAACTTCTCCATTACTATTGCCTTCATCTCTATAGAAAAATACTAATATAGATATAATATCTATTATCATACTTATTATAGATAAATATTTATGATAATAATAGATAATAAAATAGATATAATAATGAAGATAATACCAGATTTTACAGCTTCCAAACTCTTTTTCACACATATTGCCTTGTTTTGTCCTGAAATCAAAATTAGAAAAGTTAGAAATCAGAGTTAGGTCAGACATAACTAACTACAGGCACATGTGAATTGCTTTCTCCTCTTTTTTCATTGCTTCAATTTATTCTTTCGAGCTTTTGATCCCAAAGTAGTTTGAAGAGAAAGTCCTCTCTGTGAAGTTTTGCTGTGCTCCTTTTGGGATTATAACTGCAAAGGGTATTACAGGGTTGTATATAGGGAACAATAATTTTGTATAGCTTCTATAAAGAGCTATTTTTTTCAAAGAACACTCAAGATTTAAGACCTCACAAGAAGTGCTCTATACATTTAGTTTTCTTCTTTTCTCTAAGCAGTGTCTCCTTTTTGATCACAAATAGTCTTTCTTCCCAACTTGCTTCATCCTTGTCTAGCTTTGATGTTACAGCTCCTGTTTCCATGGACCTATCTGATTCTGTTTGGCCAAGGAGAGAGATGCTAGGATTGGGTACAGCATCAAACTCATTAGCCAAGCCAATGTCCCTCTAGGCCACCTCTTGTCATCTGGGGGAAAAAAACTTCCTAATCCCTGCTGTACTATGAGTTTGGAAGAGTATTTCTGCAATGTTTGGTAACTTGGCACTACGCCCTAGAGACTGTCACTTCTCCTGTATAACAAGTGCACTAAAGTCTAAGGCTCTCCCAGGTGTTTTGAGTCACCAACAGTTTCCAGCATATTGATATTTCAAATTTGAACATCTGGAGATGATGGATTCTGTGTCATGAGTGGCCCACACTATTTTTCCCAACAAGCTCTGCAGAAGGAATCTCCTGTACCATGTTACCCTCCTATATCTGAAGGGCAGTGTAAACCTGGGCAGGAAAAAGGAAATATGATTTTGGTCCCACATATACAACAAAGGAACAGAACACCCGGAAGAAATGTTCAGAGGATGTGTGTTTCAATAAGTGATATCTCCTGAATTTTTGTGTTTGTTGACAGCAGCTACATTTCTGTTTTTTTAGTCCCTTGCCCATAGAGAGATTATCTGCATAGTATTTTCTCTCCTCCTCACTATTAAGCCTTAGTGAGTCATACTTATTTATAAAGTCACAGATAAAATTTCATATCCTTTGTACACTCATGTTCATAGCAGGATTATTCAAAATAGCCAAAAGGTGAAAGCAACCCAAGTGTTCATTGACAGATTACTAGATACACAAAATGCTGGTACATACCTAAAATGGAATATTAGTCAGCCTCAAAAAGAATGAAATTCTGATACAAGCTACATCTTGGATGAACCTTGAGGATATTGTGATAAATGAAATTAGCCAGGTACAAAATATCAAATACTATGTCATCCAGTTATACAAAGAACCTGGAATAGTCACATTCATAGAAGTGGAAAGCAGAATGGCGATTTCCAGGGTCTAGGGGAAGGAGAGTGGAAAATTCTTGTTTAATGGGTATGTACAGTGTCAGTTTTGCAAGATGAAAAGATTTCTGCAGGTGGATGTTGGCAATGGTTGCATTAAAATGCGAGTGCACGTAATGTTGTTGAACTATACACTAACAAGTGCGAAAGTTGACAGATTTTATGCTATGTATATTTTACCACAATAAGAAATTAAAGACATTAAAAATTGTATCTTCTAAAAGAGTTTCCCTAACTCCTAAAGTAAGTTATGACCTTCATCATGCAACCTTGTACCATATTGTACATATTACACATATTATTTGTCATACTAGGTCATACTTATTGTTTAAATGGTCATTATACAATGTTGCAGTTAAACTTTTTGAGACAAACATTTGCTTTAATATATTTTTGGTGACCAAAATCCATTTACTCTTCAGGCATACAGCTAGAATGCCTATAGAACTCCTTTTCATTTAGGAATGGCTATATAACTAAGTCACCTTCAACAGATTTTGTTTCAAAATAACATGTGCCACTTCCAGGTATATCTGTAGCAATCTCCCATGTGTAGTCTTAATGCTTATTTTCCTGACTGCCTACAATTTTGTTGTCTAGGGCAACAAGGGAGCCATGTGTTGAAAATGAAGGACCATTGTCAGGGTCCCTGAAAGACCGTGGGGAAACAAATTGACCTGCTGATCTGAATTTCCACCCAGGACTCTTATCATGAATGTCACTGAAAGTCGAGGAGTCTATTTATTGCTACCCTACTAACTGACCTATGTGAGTCACTTACATCTCTGATTTCATCACTTACTGCTGTGAGAGTTGGGGCAAATTACTTAACTCCTCTTAGGTTTAGCTTATTTGTTAGTCAAATAATGACTAATAGGGAATATGAGAAATTATTTTATAAAGTTGTGGACATGATTGAGAAAGGTGTGTATTACTTCATAGTAAAAGCTTATTACTGATTACAGTTTTACTCAAGTAAGTTTAAATTCCCCTGCAAGACTGCTAAGAATCGTGGCTTAAAAAGTGCATTTAAAGTGTTTTTTACTTGATGTAGGAATACCAGTTCCCCAATATGGATGTATCTATTTATTGGTAACTGTTCAAAACCTCGCTTTATAATCTATATAGAGTATTCACAATTTTTTAAGATACCATTGATTTTTAAGATAAACTTGTTTTTAATTAACAAATAATAATTGTGAGGTAAATGTGATGTTTTGTTCTATTTATACATAGTAGAAAGAGTAAATCAAGCTAATTAATATCTCTATCGTCTCACCATCTTACCATTTTCTATTAAATGTAGTCACATGCAGTTTAATAGATCACAAAAACTTATCCCCCAATCTGACTGAAACTTTGTACCCTTTGGTCAGCCCCATTTTTCCCCTTTTTGCCTTCCCCACAGCTTCTGGTATCACCTTTCTACTTTGTTTCTATGAGATTGATTTATGTGTGTTTGTGTGTGTGTGTGTGTGTGTGTGTATGTAAAATGAAAACGTTATCTTTATCCATTCATCCTAAGTGCTGCACAGTTAGGATGAGTCCACATTTTGTCTATTGTGAATAGTGTTGCAGTAAACACAACAGTGCAGATATGTCTTTGACATGCTGATTTCATTTGAATATATACCCAGAATTGGAATTGCTGGATCATATGATAATTTAATTTTCACCTTTGAGAAATCTCTGTTCTGCCTTCCAAAATTGATATACTAATTGATATTCCCACAAACAGAAGAAACCTTTTATTTTTAAGAGTATCATTTTAATAATGGTATTTCAGGAGAAAAATACATTACTCCTTCTAGTTAAACACATTAATATTATGACTTCTCTTGATTACAAAAACCTTAAACTATAGAGAAAAAATATTTTCAACTAGATAGCATAGGTTAGCCATACAGTTACTTTTTCTTCTTGCCCAAACCTCTTAACCTTTCTCACGCACATGGTCTCACATTTGAAAAAATAGGGAATTCCCTCCCCGCATCCTGCACCAGTGGCTTTTGACAATCTACAGTACCACACCTTAAAAAGAATACAGTTCAACAAAAGTAATTTAATTGCCTTCATTTGGACACAGCCTGGCTCTCCTGGGCACTGGTGGCCTCTTATTGCCCTGATTTAGACCAGGTTTGCCAAGAACCTGTATTTGGATGTGCCAGGTCCCTAGAATCCCCAGGAACACAAAGAAAAGAAGCCCCTTCCCCAGGAAAATCCACTTCACTAGGCAGTAGATGTCTACAGTGGCCTCAGAACCTGAAAGAGAGAGAGCAGACTGAGAAAGGACAGAGAGTATGTGTGCCCATGGAAGGGCATTGGCAGATGCCAGGGGCTACCATCTATTCCTCTCAGCTCCTTCTAAAGTTCTTCAAAGTATCTAGTTAAACATGTCCTCATGGTCTCCCCTCAGGGAGGAAAGAGTGCTTTACCCGAGAGGCACCTAAGGAGACAGTGACCACGATGGTCTTCTCCATTTTTTGTCCATTACTACCAGCAAAAAAAAAAAAATGCACACAGATGCGCCCTCTGTTTTCAGAGAGTATATGTGTCTCTTCTGCATACCTTTATACCCTAAAAATCAACCTATCTTTGGCTTTGAGAACCCCACACAAAAGGCTGGACAGGTCACCTGGACTTTCCTCCCTCAGGGATTCAGAGACAGTCCCCATCTCTTTGGGTTAGCTCTAACCAAAGACTTGGAGGACTGGCAATATCCACAAGCTACTCTGATACAATATATAGATGACCTCATCTGTGGACCAACCGAGCCTGTCATTTTGTGAGCCACTAAATCCTTACTAAGCTTCCTAGCAGGTAGAGGTTATAAAATCTCCAAAGAAAAAGCCCAATTGTGTCAGTCTAGAGTTACATATTTAGGTCTTGTCCTGGAAAAGGAAATGAGGGCTCTAGGAGAAGATAGAATCCATCCGATCCTGACATTTCCCTTACCTAAGACTCTAAAACAATTGAGGAATACTGTAGAATTTGGATCCCAGGATAAGCAGACCTAGCCAGGCCTTTATATCAGATTCTTTTCTTTTTTCTTTTTTGTCTTTTCTTTTTTGGTGCTGGGATCGAACCCAGGGCCTCGTGCATGCTAAGCAAGCGCTGTACCACTGAGCTACATCCCAGCCCCAAAGTGCAGAAGGCTCCCCATCTTTTTATTGAATGGGGTGACAAGTCAGAAAGTGCATTCCATCAGTTAAAAAAGGCCCTTAAGACAGCTCCAGCCCTGGGTCTCCCAGTACAGAAAAAGTTTCAATTACAAGTCTATGAAAAGGAGGACTGGCCCTCAGCACCAGGGCATCACTCCCCAGCTAGCAGGCTACTTAAGTAAAGAATTAGATCAGGTAGCCAAGGGTAGGCCAAGATGTCTTTGGGCAGTCCCTGCAGTTAGCTTTCTAGTGCCTAAAGCTCAAAAATATGTCCTAAACTGGCCCCTGACAGTTTACATCCCATACAACCTAGGGGGAATTTTAAACTCAAAAAGAGGGCTTTGATTGTCCAACGGCCATCTACTAAATACCAAGTCCAGCTGCTGGGAGGGACAGAAATAACTTTAAGGACCTGTCAGAGCCTAACCCTGCATCCTTTCTACCAGAGACAAGGGGAAATCCTGAACACTTGTGTGAGGAGGTACTTATGGAAAATTATGCTGCTCCACCTGACTTGACTGATTAGCCCTTAGACAACCCAGATCTATAATTATACACTGATGGCATCTCCTTTGTCAAAAATGGTGTCAGACATACAGTGTTTGCAGTTGTGACAGATTTTGGCACCCTCAAGTCAAGTCCTCCTCATCCTAATACAAGTACTCGATTGGCAAAACTAGTGGCCCTAACAAAACCCCTAAAACTGTCAAAAGAGCAGAGAGTCAACATCTATACAGATTCTATGTATGCCTTCCTGATCCTGCATGATCATGCAGCCATCTGGAAGGAAAGGGGAATGCTAACTACAATGGGATCTCCAATTAGACATGCTCCTGACATACTAGCCCTCCTACATGCTATTTTATTGCTTAAAGAGGTCTCAGTGATTCATTGTAGAGGTCACAAAAAAGGTGAAGATAAGATAGCAAAGGGAAACAAAGCAGCTGACAAGGTAGCTAAACAGGAAGCCATGCAGGAATATACAGCTGGCCCTCTTCTCTGGGAGGGGACTCTCCTTCCCCCAGACAGACCACAATATTGATCAGAGGAAAATGAACAAGCCTCAGACCAAGGGTACCAGTTGGCTCACCAGGGCTGGTGGGTGTCCCCTGAAGGGAAGCTATGGCTCCAGGAGGCACTCCAGTGAAAAATTCTTAAGATTGTACATCAACTTTATCATTTGAGCTTAGACAATAGAATGATTTTGGTCAACAAAATGTTTGGGGAAACTAAATTAAGGGACACCACAAACAAGTTGTACAGGGATGTAAAATATGCCTCCCAAAAATAATAATCCCAATAACAAAAGACTCCAAGTGCCAGAGGCATAGAGGCAGGGGTTGTACCCCAGGGAAGACTGGCAATTAGACTTTACTCATATGCTATGGGGACCAAAATCAAAACTACTTTAATATTGGTAGACACATTCACTGGATGGGTAGGAGCCTTTCCTTGCAGTACAGAACATGCTAGAGAGGTGGTTAGAGTTCTAATCACAAACATAATCCCTTGCTTTGGTCTCCCCAAAAAGCCTTCAAAATGATAATGGGCCTGCATTTAAGGCAGAAGTAACTCAGGCACTCTCTAGAACACTAGGTATAGAATACTATCTCCACTGTGCCTGGCATCACCAATCTTCTGACAGGTCTGCCTTGTCATTAAGGACATGCAAAGGTCTTTGTTGTCCCTTGCCTGTATGGTCATGGACAACCACATAACCCTAGATTTTCTTTTGGCTAAATAAGGAGGGGCATGTGCCATTGCCAATACTTCCTGCTGCACATATACAAACACTTCAGACGTTGTAAAGGAACATGCAAACCACATTCTCCAACAGTCTAAGTGGCTCTGAGACTAGTCCCTCAAAATGCAAATATCCACACAGGTATGGGGTCAAATAAAATTCTGTCCCCCCTTTAAGACATGGTTGATACCCTTTCAGGGGCCTATAGTTGCCATTTTTCTCTTATTGTGTTTGGGCCTTGCATTCTAAACTTACTTGTCAAGTGTGTTTCATGGTTCCCTCGATAACCCCTCTCGTGGTCAGCCCTGGCTCCATGGCCCCTTCATCATCCCCTTTCAGCAGGAAGCATTACTGAATAGACTTTGCTGTCCCTATTCCTAACAGAAGTTAAGGTAATCATTGGGAGGGGAGACTTGAAGGGTGGACTGTGGTAGGTCCACATGTTCTCAAAAGATGTCAATTACCCAGGGGAAAAAAACGCCCTTTCTTCTTCCCAAGAAACACCCATTCACATCAGAGAGACACCTCTTTCCCAAGAGACACCTGTTCACACCAAAATCTTCACCCTTTGGCAATAAAAAAGCTATAAAACCTGACTTTCAATCTAACCCAGGGAACTACTGGTTTCCAGTTCCCACTGCATGTCCCCCATGTGGCCATTCCTTTCGCTTCTTTGCAAATAAAACTTTTCTGACCTTTCCTGCTCGAGTCCACCTTTAACTTCAATCTAAGCATGGAACAAGGGACCCTTTGCCCCTTGAGTATTCCAGCACATCATTGCTGAACTATTTGAGTTTGTGATTTATGTTGGCCTAATACTTCTTTCAATATGACAATAGACTTTACTATACAAAACTAAATGCATAAAATATCTCCAATCACAAAAAATAATGCAAACTCAAATTTTGATGGGGGTGAAGGAATAAGGAGCCCAAGGGCAAGGGTGGAGCCAAGACTCAGAAAGCACTGTATCTAGGTAATAAAACAAAGGGGAAAACAAACATGACTCTGTATGTTGACTGTGTATCTGTGCTGTTCTTCTTTCTGGACTGGCTCTCTCCAGTCTGGTAGAATGTGGTCTACAAAGCACAGCTGTCACAGGACTAGCCCTGGCTAGAGACTCACTGCCATTCTCTCTCTCTCTCTCTCTTCTCTCTCTCTCTCTATCACACACACACACACACACACACACACACACACACACACAAAACTTCCTCATTTTCTCACAATTTCAAATTCCAAAAGGACTCTAGTTAAGGCAGTAAGGTCATGTCCTACAAATTTGACTCCTTTGTTTCAACTTCTCAATTTGTCAGAAATTAGGCAAATGGCAAAGTGGACATTATTCTCAGCAACTAATAATACAACAATCAGTCGACCATACAACAGTTTTTAGAAAATTTCAACTAAAGTTGAGAGAATGGCACATGAATTCCTAAGACACCTACCAGATTCAATAATTACCACTATTTTTACCACTCTAATTGCATCTATATTTTTCTTTCTTTTTTCTTGTTCAAGAATTTAAAGCAAATCCTAGATATCATGCTCCTACTCCTACACACACACATACACACACATTCTTACAAAACCTCAATGCCATTGTCACAAACTAAACATGTTGTTATAACTCATTTGTATTATAAAATACTTAGTTCATATTCAAAGTTTTCCAGTGGCAGAAAACATTTTGTAATTGAATTTTTAAAACAAGAATCTAAAAATATCCTTATACTGATTCAATTATTGAGTCATAGAAGTCCCATTTACTCAAATAACCTAAAAATAGAAAGTATATGTCTTTTCCACACAGGACCTTGGAACAAAGATGAGCTATTTATTAAGTCACAAAAAATTCTCAACTAATCCGAGCAAGGAACATCATATATACATACAGATTATCTGTTCCACAATCCAAGGAATTAAAGTCTAAGTAAAAAGATAAAACCAAAGAGCACCAAATCACTGAAATTCTAAATCTCTCTTGCTATAAAGATCTCCAGTCAGATTATAAAACTAAAATTAAAGTCAATCCTGTAAAATACTTGACAGTAATGACATTACAAAATTGCATAATATAAAATGGTAAAACCACATTGGAAAATAGTTTGGTGATTCCTTAAAAAGTTAAAAGTGCCTACTGTACAACCCAAGGGAAACAAAAACATACATTCACACAAAGATTCACAGCAGCACAAATATTCATAGCAGCTTTGTTCGTAAAACGAAAAAAGAAAATGTCCACCAACAGGCTAATCTACAAAATAATTGTGATATGTGCATACAAGGAAATGCTTTTCTCAGCAGATGTAAAAGGCTATAGAAAAGGGAAATGATAAATGTATCAACAGTAAAATGAATAAATAAATGCAACCTACAAACAGGGAAAATAATTATAATAAACTTAACAGATATCAGGGCATGGTGGCACAAGTCTGTAATCCAGCTACTCAGGAGACATAGGTAGGAAAATTGCAAAATGCAAGAGCCTATCTAACAGTAATGAAAGCAAAAAGAACTGGAGACATGGCTCAAGTGTGGGCAGCACTGAGTTCAAACTCAGTGTACCACCAAA